TGATCCCTTGCAGAGCAGTTGGTAGTGGTAGCCAGGTACCATCTAGTTCTTCTGCTCTCAGAATTATGGTGACTGATGTTCACCTGTTACAATAATCTATTGGACTATGATTCTAAACATCTTCAATTTTCATCAGTCTTCTTATTTCACACATGGAAAGATTAATAGTTGTACCTTATATGGCTGCTGCTGAGTTTGTTTGTTTTTTTAAATGTTTTATTGTGAATTATGTGATAGTTTACATGGGAGAACATTAGTTTTACATTCATTCTATCATATATCATCTCATTGCCATGGTTACAATCCCCTCCATGCAATCCTTCTCCCGTACCCCCCAGGTCTTCTGCACACAGTCACTCTCCCTCTCTGGATCTAAAGTCTCCAGCTGCTCCATCGCTCCATTTCAGGCATCACTGCTTCTCTGGGTAGGGTCCTGCTCTCTGCTCTTCTCCCTTGGTGGTCCTAGGGACCTCTGCTCCTAGACTGAAAAGTTAATCACTCCCCTCCTTGCTATAAAACGTCTACCTTTACATTTCCGACCCTCACAATCAGTCCTGATAACAATTATTCACTATTGTATCACAAGAGACCCATTTACATTTCATTGCATCAGTGCCCCGCCTAGTCAGATTGAATACTACTCACTGGAGATTCTACCTTCCTCTAGGCCCTCTGGATCTAGGTTCCCTCTTGAAAGCTTGTAAGCCAGTTACTTCTTGCCTTTGTAGCTCCCTGCCCCCCATTTTGGGTAGCCAATGTCCAAGTTGCTCATCCATATCTACTCTGTGTGCGGAGGGGGTGGGGATGATTCTTGCTGTAAGGACTTGTTCCCTCTTTTGAGCTACTGCTTCCATAGGTGTAGGTCAAGTTCATCAAATTGTATGAGAATACTTTTATTTTTTCCCTCTTCTTTTTACTTCTTATCAGCTGGACGCTTCACTCTCCACCCTAGTCCTTTGTGGCTTGCCACACTGCTGGCCAACCAGGTCTTCACCCGGGTTCACAGAAGTTTTTTGAATGTTGTAGGGAGCTCTGGTAGCGTAGTGGTTACGAATTGGGCTGCAAACCTTAAGGTCAGCGGTTCGAAACTACCAGCTGCTCCGCGGGAGAAAGATGAGGCTTTCTACTCCCGTAAAGATTTACACCCTGGGAAACCCTGTACAGGGTCGCTATGGGTCGGAACCGACTCGACGGCACTTAACAACAACAAGGGCTTAGCTCACCGCTTCATTGCTGTTTTTCCCTCACTTCCCCTTATCTGTGTGGAGCGTGGTCACCAATCACAGTGTGTATTCCCATTGAGTCTTAGTCTTGGAAGGGGGTTTGCACTGAGGGGACCCTGCCACTTGCCTTGATGTTTCCTGGGCAAGCAAGTTGCTTGTTCTTGTAGTAACAGTCGATCTGCCTATGTTGTTTTATATTTTTCCTGTAGGTCTTTCTTTCAAGAAGTATCTTCTATTCTTCTAGCCACTCAAGGTTGGTCTGCTTGTCCTTTCAAGTGGGAATTTCCCTGCTGATGAGTTTTTAAGATCCCAGTTGCTGTTCACCAAAGTAGCATGTCTGGTATCTGTTATGCCAATTAACCATGATGTCCCTTTGAGAGTAGGTACCCAGACCCACCTACTTACTGCCTCTAGGTATTTGCTAATGTCTAAGATATTTTCATTGTTTTGCCCCTGTATTCTCTACCACTCATAGGTGTGTTTGCAGCAAAAGTAAATACCTGTGTACAAATATCATCTGTCAAACCCTGATATACTTGTGGATATACTCCCAGTCTCTTTCCCATACCTATGCAGCCTGTGTTATGTCCATGTATTTTCTCCTAGAACACTGTTGTTGCAGAGTTGTGTATATAACATTATTTACCATGGTGGCTCTGTAGGATAAACCAGGGACTACAAACCACAAGATTAGTGGGTCAAGTCCACCACTCACTCTGAGACAGAAAAATTAGATTTCTGCTCCCACAAAGATTTATAGCCTCAGAAACCCTAAACAGGATCACTATGAGTCAGAACTGACTCAACAGCACTAAATAACAACAACAACCTCTATACCTTTTAGCCCTTGCATTCCTCTTTGTGTCTCCATCTGCTTTCATCATTCTTCCCACAACTTTCTTCTTCTTGTATATTGCCCTCCAAATACAGCCAAGTCAGATGACAGTAGCTATATGAGTGAACACAGGTGAGACCCTGAGAACATCAGATTGCCAACCCACAAAATTGTGATATTTTTATTTTGAGTCACTAAGTTTTTAGGCATTTTGTTACAGAATAAAGGCTTACTGAAACAGAAATATTACCTGAAGGTGTTGGTATATAGGATTTAGGCTGGTTGGGTATGAGTGGGCATTGACTTTTGTGGAAGTTATAATCAAATGGAGGGTATATTCTATATGCTAGATCCTGGTACAGTTTCAAAAACAATTGGTATATGTGAAGATGTAGGATGAGGCAATGAAACATAAGGCAGTTTATTGGATGAATTCATTAATTTCTTTATTCACTTCATAGATATTTATTGTATACCTTCTATATACTATTCTAGCAGCTGGGGCTACAATGATTAATGAGACAAACACTGTCTCTGTCTTTGTGTAACTTACAGTCTAACTGGGGAAGATAAGGCAATTAAATAAACAATTTCAAATAGTGTGAACAGGAAGTACTAGTTGCTGCTAATTGAATTAATTTAGAGGACTAGGAAAGGCTTTCCAGAGGTTGTAATTTGTGGTGATATATGAAGGATAACTAGGAGTTTACCAGGAATGGTGCATACGAAGCTGTGAGCATGGGGTGGGGTCAGAAGGTTCAGATATGAGACAAAGAACAATACATTAAAGGACGATAAAAATCTCTGTAGATTATATAGGGAAACATGTGTGAGGTAAGAAACATGAGACAGTAAGGCAGAAAATAATAAAGGATTTTGGAGTATTAAGGAATTTGGTAATGGAAATCGACACAATGAATTTTGGGTTTTAGATAAAGCAATCTGACTAAATGGGGAGGGGTTTGAGAGAAGTCAAGAACTGAACTGTTGCTCTCTTTCAGTCTCTGATGCTCCAGGAGCTATGGGTGATGGTGCAGACATAGACAAGCGCAAGAACCACACCACAACCAATTTCAAAAATGGCCAGAAATAGCATCAAGAAACCCTGGTCATGTTATGAATCTCTTAAGGGGATAGGTCCCAAGTTTCTGAGGAACATGTGCTCATGTTCATCATAAGCACATAACAAGAAGGGCTAAAGAAGATGCAGGACAACAACTCCAAAGCCAGGGATGTACATGCCAAGGCTATCAAGGTTCTCCTACAGGTCAGTTGATTCACTTACATTGCCCATTCCAAGTTGGAAGTGTTTCAGGCATGCATTGCAAGAGTCTGAGATTTTGTCAGCCAAAGCCCAAAGTCCAGGCTAACCTTAAGGTTGGAGCTCCAATCAAGGCCCCGATTCAAGTTTTGACTCCCAAGTCAGGCTCTTAGAAGTGCCAGGTCTCCCCAAAGGCTCTGGAGTAGAGTTCTCCACTGAGAACAGAGGAATTGGTGTTATTCCCTGGGCTGCCATCACAATGGGGCTGCTGTCCTCCTATGCTTTTTGTACAGGAGCTGCAAAAAAAAAAAAAAAAGGGTACTGAAGTGTTGTCATAGGGCAGTTGAGAGTAATGAGGAGGGAAAGACATGGGTGGATTTAAGATTTTTACATGATCAAATCTCCAGACTTGACACACCATCGGTACTTGGGGGGGCTACAGATGCTGGGGGTTAAGGATACTTCTAGATTTCTGGATCAAGTAACTGGGCTGTTGTTGTTAAGTGCCATCTAGTTGGTTCTGACCCATAGCGGCCTCTATATGGTTTCCTAGGAGGTGAACCGCTGACCTTGCTTTTCAAACTGATTGCAGTCCAGCGCATTAATCCACAGCGCCGCATCAGGACTGTCGTTCAATAAGTATCTAGATATACTGGCTTGAAACTCAAAAAAGTTTAGGCTGGAAATACAGATTTGGGAGCCATCAGCCTATATTTGCCAATTTAGATGCTGAGTAGCTGAGACTGCATGGGGAGTACATTTGAGAAAGGGACCTAGGAAGAAAATTCCCAGCTAATGAGTATTTATTACTAACAATTATTCTTTCACGGTTTCTTCTTTGGTTCTTTCTGTTACTGGACAACTTGGAGAATGTGGGAGATAGATACTGGTGTGAGGTTTTTGACATGTAAAGTTAGGACAGTTGCCATGGCTTTTTACAGTAAATTGAGAAAGATTTATGCAGTGTGTGGTGACAGAAGGAAATTGTTACTGTTAAGATGAGATGACCTGGAGCTGTCAATTACTGAGAAAACAAGGATAGGAACTGTTGCTTATATGCGTGACGTAAAGCAATTCCTGGATGTTAAACTGGTCAGCAGTACTTGGGGGATGGGTTCGACCAAAACTTCTGTCATGGAAAAGGGGCGTGTACAAAGTGCAATTTCTCGAGAGATATTAGCAGTCAAGAAGGCCTGGTGTAGCGCTATAGTTAAGCACTGGACCACAAGGTCGAGTTGAACTGCAAGAATCAACGGTTCAAAACTCACCAGCCGCTCCCTGGAAACCGTATACAGGATTATTATGAGTCGGAACCGACTCGACGACACTTAAAAACAATAGCAATTAAAGGACTGAAAAAGAGAGATGTTGTAACTTGTTACTGGATAAAAGAAAAGTAGGTAGGTTAAAACAAGTCACAAAGCACTAGAGGCGAGTTGATGCAGCTGGAGTTAGGCCCAGGTTGTTTCGGTGGCCATTTGTACACAAAGGGGAACTAGACCCTCCTCACCGGAAGCAGAAACTCTGCCCTCTAGAGCATTACACATTCCTCCGCGACGGAAGAGCGCGTCCCGCCTCCTGTCTGACCAGTTACTTCCACCCGTCTCTTCTAGAGAAGTGACCGTGGGATGCTCAAGGGATGACGGCCTGAAGTTATGGAACCGAGCGAAACCGACGTCGACAAGTCGATAAGCACCGATACTGGAATGTAGGGGAAGAGAGTAAGAAAGTAAGGTCGCACAACGAAACGGCTCGGCGGAGGGATACTGTTTCTTTTCTGGCGGAGGGATTTGATAGTACATTGACTTCCGGAGACGTCCTGGCCCTGAGAGGAAAGACCCCGAAGGAAACAATAACAAACGAGAGGAGGAAGGAATTGTGGTGTTCCTGTGTTGTGCTGTCGTTACTAGAGAAGATGCGTTTCGGTCCCTGTCAGGGGACGTGAAAGGGCTAGGTGGGCTTCAGCCAGCCTTTCTCCATCTGTTCCCCTACGGGGGGCTCCTGGATATTACCATGGCTGGTGTGGGGCCGGGGGGCTACTCGGCGGAGTTCGTGCCACCACCGGAGTGCCCAGTGTTTGAGCCCAGCTGGGAGGAGTTCACAGACCCGCTCAGCTTTATCGGTCGCATTCGGCCTCTGGCTGAGAAAACTGGCATCTGCAAGATCCGACCTCCCAAGGTACGGGAGTCAGAGGAAGGGAGGAGACGGGAGGATGGGGGAGTCGATACAGTTGTTTTAGCTTTACTTTCCCTGTTCTTTTGCCTTTCTGCCTGCACTTCTCAGCAACTCGAGGTTAAGTTTCGGATGTTTCGCAAATTTTGCGTGTTTACGTGGTGGGCACCTCTGAACGCTAGAAAGTAGTGTCCCTAAAGCCTTTTCCGTCTAGAATTTGGTTAACTGATACTTTTTCTTTTGGATTGTGGGCCAGGGAAACAAAAGGCTTTAGGCCTTTCGTTGGCCTGTAAGTTTTAGAAATATGACATGTTCGTTCCTCCGTGTGCAACCCTCATTATGGTGCGATTGTTAAAAGTGCCCTTCCATTGGCTATTTCATTATCCAAGCCCTACTTTACTGCTTCGTTTATGAAGTATTTGTAGGCCTTATCGCGGGGCTAGGGTTTCTTAGGGTAATCTGAGCTCTAGTTGGCCCTTAGGATGGTATCACTCAACCAGAGCCCCACACTGATTACTGCTGCATTGAAAAAGTCTTCCCGGAGGAAGAGAAGGAGTAGTATTTATTTTTTAAATGTAGAGGATTAGGAAAAACTGACCAATAATCGAGGTGGACGAAAACGTCGGACTCTCTTAATGTTAGGAACATAATTATCAAAGATTTACACATCTCAAGCCTTCCAATTAATTGTTTTCTCCTTGATGAATTACAATTCTTAATCTTTAATTTAAGATAAGGAAAACAGTCACTATCTTTGTTTTGGGGGAATTAGTGCCCCAAGAGGTTGAATGATTTGCTCAAGGTCAAAGGTTTCTTGGTGTCTAGAGTAGCTGTAAGAAGCTCTGGTGGCTTCGTGGTTAAAGTGCTTGAGTGTGAACCAAAAGGGCGGTGGTTGGAGAGAAAAATGTGGCAGTCTGCTTCTGTGATACAGTGCTGAGCCTACAGTGCCACATCAGGAGTCCCAGTCACAGACTATTGTTAAGTGCCATCTGGTTGGTTCGACTCAAAGAGATTGTGTATAGAATTTCTGAGGAGCAGCTGATGAGTTTGAACTGCCAACCTTGCGGTTCAGACGACCTTGAGGTTGAGTGCTTATCTATGGCTCCATTCAACTGTCATACACAGGCTGGTGGTGGTGGTTGGTAGTTATGTGCCGTGGAGTCAGTTCCAACTCATAGCAACCCTGTACAGGGTTTCCAAGGCTATAAATTTTTTTTGGGAGCAGAAAGCCTCATCTTTATCTCGTGGAACCAGCTGGTAGTTTTGAACTGCTGACCCTGAGATTTGTAACCACCATGCTACCAGAGCTCCTTTGGATACGGAATTTCATGAATCTGCTTTTCTACCTGATTCTTAGTGCACGTTAAAGTTTGTAAATCATTACTTTAGATTTCTTAAAGACAGACAGCATGCTTTGTGTTTGCCTAGTTATTTTTGTTAAGTGCCTTCGAGTCACTTCTGACTCAAAGTGACCCTGTCTAGGGTTTCTGAGGAGCATCTGGTGGGTTTGAACTGCTGACCTTGTGGTTAGAAGTCCAGTGCTTATCTAACAGCGTGTCACACAAGGACTTGACTCCTTTGCCTAGTGGTAGTAAAGATAAAACATTTAGTGCTGATATTGTTATTGGTGTTTGTTTGAAAAAAACAGCAAAACAACATTTGTCCTCACCACAAATTAACCACAATGGTATTCAACACAATGAATAAAAGATGGTGGTAGTGGTTGTAGGGATAATTTACCACTTAATATCCTTCAAGAATTCTATATAAATTGTTTCAAGAGTAAGATAATAGATTATTGATTAAGACAATAGGATTAATAGAAAAATCTATAATGGTATACATTGCTATGACTCAGAAGTTTCTGATTAGCTCTCTTTTTCTGTCAGAGTTACCTAATATTGACAAAACCTTAAACATTTACGTTTTTCTTAACCATATTTTCATCTACCTGTTGTTATTAAGGAGTTCTGGTAGCGTAGTGGTTACGAATCAGGCTGCAAACGGTAAGATCAGGAGTTTGAAACTAGCAGCCGATCCTCAGAGAAAGATGAGGCTTTCTGCTCCAGTAAAGATTTACTTGGAAACCCTGTACAGGGTTGCTATGAGTTGGAACCGACTCCACTGCACATTCCCACTACTACCACCACTCAGATCTTTAAGTGGATTGGTGTGGCATTGTAGGCTCAGGACTGGACAGCAAATCACAAGGCTGGCAGTTCAAATCCACCAACTGCTCCTAAGAAACCCTATACAGGGTCTCTGTGAGTTGGAATGGACTCCACAGCAACAGTAACAGCAAGCCAAATCAAATGATGTTCCTTAGAACCCCATTTGAAAAACAAGGGGCCTTCAAAAAGTTCCTGGGAAAATTCCAGTATCCTTGAATTCCATTTATCCATGAACTTTTGAAGCCCCCTGGTATGTTACCTCATTTCAGCCATCCCACAACTCCCATCTGGGAATTTGTTCTGTGGGTTTGCTTTTTTTAAAACAGTGTTTTGATGCCCAGAAGCTGAGTTTGAACAAAGCATTTATATAGCATAGACTGTAAAGTGCCATGTCACATAACACCCATACACAAATTCAAATGTATTTTGAGTGATTTTTAAAGCATTACTTTTTTTTAATTATTATTTAAGGTTTTTATTGGGGATTGAGTGAAAGTTTACAGGGCACATCATCAGTTTTACATTCAACAAATCATACACCTTGTTTCATTACATTGATTATAATCCCCTCCATGTACCATCAGTTAACAGTATTTCTCTCTATCCACTTTAGCTTTCTAAAAAACATACTAACAAACAAAAATAAAACCACTCAGGCATATATAATAATTTACATCTCCAAAGTGCACATTCTGCAAGTCTGTTCCTGGCCACCAGTTCTTAGTCCTTTTCTTGTTAGTCCATGAATCTAGAGTCCTCAGCTGCTCCCCCTCTCCATGCCCCATCTCTGCCTCATCTCTGGTGCTGTTGCTTCTCTGGATAAGGTCCTGCATTCTACTTGTGCATTCCTCTTTTGATGGTCCTAGGGTCCTCCGTTTCTGGACTGTAAGATTAACCACTCCCCTTTTTTTGTTAGAAAACTTCCACCTTTACAATTGTGACAATCTCGATTAGTCATGGTAACAATTATTCACTATTGAGTCTTAGTAATCTTATCCCCATCTCTTTTCACCAGACCCATCTAGACAAGATACCAGCCAGCTATTCATTGGGGACTCTTTCTTTACCCTCATACTCTTAAACTAACCTCCCTCTTGAAACCTTGTAAGCCAGTCACTTCATGCCTTTATTGCCCCCTCATTTTAGATAGCCAATGTCTAAGTTGCCCATCCCTAGCTACCCTGTGTATAGAGCTGATAGCATTGATACTTGATTTGAAGACTCTTTCCTTCTCTCTTGGTATTTAGAGTAACTACCGCTCTGAGTATAGGTCAGGTTCATCATGAAGATGTATCTTCTGTCACTGTAGCTGTTCCAGTCTGCTTGTTCTTTCTAGTGGGAATGTCTCACCTCATAAGGTTCTGGATGGGGCTCAGGATTCCACCTAAGGCCCTATACTCTGTAAAGGCTTTGCATGAGGCCTATTTCACTTGGTAAGTTGTAGAACCCCTTTTAGGTATTCCAATCAGTTATAGGCTGAAGGCAGGTTTATAAGTTTTCTCTAATCAAGTTTCCCAACATTCCTTTGTAACCCACTCGTGTCTATTTTACAATAGTAGGCAAGGGAAACTAATATTCCTAAGGTAGTCAAGGATTTTAGTATTATGTACCCTCTTCAAGCTATACTTAGATCCCTGTATCCCAGAGCCCTGTTGTTCCAAGGTTGAGTATGCATCACTATTTACCTCTGTCCCACTAGCCCATGCAAACCTGTCACAGTGTTCTTATCTATCTTGTTCTTCTGCCTCCTCCCCCCTTCTTGTATTGCCCTCCCCAACACCCAAACTAAACCCCCCACCCCAACCCCATTGTGGTTACCGTATATACCATTAGTTCTTCCCTCCATGTAAGACAGTCTGTTTTATCCAGTAATCTACCTGACCTTCCCACCACCTGGATCTCTGTTCTTCTGTGTTTACCTTTTTTCACATTGTAATTGTTTTGATCATAGACCGACCTCCCAGATCCTCTGTTCTTATAATTTTATTCTGTACTTGACTCTTCCATTTGTTGACTGAGTTCAGGTTGATGCTGCCATGTACCTCATTCTGTAGTTGTTGTGTCAAGTATTACTTTGTAATCTTAATTTTTGCCCATTTTTAGTTTCTTTCAAATTCTGTTTCTTTTTCAATTTGGCAAACTTGGGATTACTAGACACTGTTTTCTGGTATATGAGCTCATTGCCTTCCACTTGAGTAATTGCCAAAAGCATAATGGTGGTATGTAAAGGCACTAGTGATATCTGATGATTGTTTCTCTAGTTAAGTATTGAAATTTTTTTAAAATAAAAAAGTTGTTACTCTGTCTCTGTGTTAAAGAGAACTTCTAATTTGGTCTGTTATCACCATGCTTTGTGGCAACAAACTTCTTAAATTAAAGAAAGTGAATAATGCATTTGTTGCTTAAATACCACTGTGTTCAAATATCCTTCTGTCTAGGACTGGCAACCTCCATTTGCATGTGAAGTAAAAAGTTTTCGTTTCACTCCCCGGGTCCAACGCTTGAATGAACTTGAGGTGAGTGTTGTTATGTTACCATTTCTGCCTCTCAGTTCATTGTATATGTCAGGGCTACAGTTAGAAAATTTTGAGAAGATCAATTACCAGTGCCCAGAGTTAAGTGTTAGTAATTTAATAGAGTAGTTACTTGAGCCTTGGAGCAAATAATCGATTTTAAAAAACTGTTTAAAGTAGCGCTACAATTTTTCTAAAAGGGAGATATGGGCAATTATCTGTAGCTATGTTTTTCATGATAGGAATCTCTAATGATTAGCTTTCAGAGACCTAGAATTCTCAAGTTTGAACTTACTTCCGTGCTTATTATTTTACAAAAAACTTTGAGGATCCCAGAACTCTTCTGCCTCCCATGTTTTTTGGAAATTTTTTATAATTTTTGTAATTTATAATTTTATTTAAAAACCTACTTTTCAAAGTTTTTTTTTTTTTTTTTTGGTCTTTAACAGAACTTTTCCAGGACTTGAATCTGGTTTTATTAATATTTTCCTTTGTTGTTGTTGTTAAGTGCTTTTGAGTTGGTTTTGTATCTTAGCGACCTGGGGTAGGGTTTCTGAGGAGTGGCTGGTGAATTTTAACTGCTGACCTTGTGATTTAAACTGACCTTGTGGTCTAGCTTTATCCCACAGCGTCACAACATTTCCCTTTAAGATTACTAATATTTTCTAAAACTTCATTTTCTAAATTGAAGTTTTAAAAAATATTGCTGCTTTTCATGTCTGTCAGATTTTAAGAAGATTCTTTAGTATGAAACTGTGTGGGAATCCAAGAGGGAAGTCTTTGCTAGCTTAGAAATAGTGTGCCATTCTGAATTATGTGTTTTGTTTTTTTTTCCCTTCTGGATGTTCCTAACATATTTATATACTGAAATTTTAATATATATATTTTTCTTTTATCTCTTAAAATTAGATACTTGAAGAATGATAGTGTCAGTGAGGGTAGAGTGTTGATGATATACCTGAATTATACATGTTATCTACAGATGAAATGACATGATTAGAGACTGAGAATTTTCTGATGAATTAAATTTTTTTACAACTATTTTGCTTCTTTATTGCATTTATAATGAAAACTCTGAATTTCTTTAGAGAAGTGAATACTTTTATTATGCAGAATTAATGATTTTCAACCATAATTTACTTCACATTTCTGATGTCTGTATTTGAATAATCTTTAGGCAATGACTAGAGTGAGACTGGACTTCTTGGATCAACTAGCAAAATTTTGGGAACTCCAAGGATCTACTTTGAAAATTCCTATAGTGGAGAGAAAGATCCTGGATTTATATGCTTTGAGCAAGGTGAGGTTTGTGCTTGATTTAGAAATCATCAAGTAATTTCAAACAACTTTGGTGAAAAACATTTCCTAGTTAACATATGATTGGTAATGGAATTGCAAGTATGAATAAATGAAAATGACAGATCTCAAAGTTGTCTTTAAAAGGTATTTATAATTTGGTATGAGATTGCTATTTAATGACTCACTCTGATTAGGAGGCTCTGTGATACACAGTATATAAAAGAATTGCTACCAAACTGTTAATGGTATCTTGTATTGAGTGTTTAATGTCCTATGTTGAGCTTGTCTTCTTTTGATTTACTTCTTCTCTGAAAGCTTGATAAACTAAAGGGATTAATTTCACTAAACAGTCTTATGTGTGGCATAAACAGTTTTATGAATAACCTGTAAATAGTATTAAATGGTTAACTAAGAGGCCAATGTTATCCAGTTGAAAGAACAGTAGTATAGAAACTCAGGGTAAAGAGTTTTAGATTTGTTTTTGTCCAAACTAGTGTTCATTTTGTAGCATTACAATCCCTAATAAGAAACAAAAAAACATAACAAGTATACTTACCTGCAACAGAGATAATTATGTTATCTTGAAAACATTTTTATAATAACAAACAACAACAGATGGTTGTTTTTCATTTGTGGGTGAAGACAGCTTGATTGTCTGAGACATTTGGAAAAAAAATGTAAAACACAAATATTTTTGTGGCTTTTCATGTCCTGTTACTGTCTTTTGAAATGAAATGAAAATTTATATTTACTTAAATTACAGAGTTAATTTTAGAAGACTTCATTTTCGAGGAGAATGGTGAGAATGGACAGATTTAAATTAGCTTTTATGATATAGTCTAAAGTTAATGTCAGGTCAGCATTCTCTCATTAAAAATTCTTAGAAGTATGCCCTTATTTTAGAGTATGGCTCTGAACTAGTTTTATCAGTCAGGTAATGATGTCAGTCATTAAGCACTGTGCTAAGAATTGTCTGGGTACAGTTATATTAAATAATATAATACCAAATAGCAGATTACACTGAATTTGAGGGATGAGTTTCTGTTATGTGAAGGGGAAAATTAGGATACATTTTTCTTTTAAGAATTTTTTTTTGACATTTTGATTCATTTAAAACTTATCTATTAAAATTTACTACCTGATGCTATTTAAGATTCTGAATATGTTTGATTTGAATTATGTAACTTAAATAAAATTCAAAGGTATTTTCCTAAATCATTTTTATCATTTATATTAATACTATTGTAATCCTTAGCAAAGTTCAGTCCACTACTTCAGTTTTATTTTTATTAATACCTTATAAAATTTGCTAGAATAAGTATATGAGCAAATAATCTGTTAAACTGAAACTATTCCTGTATTAATAATTTTCCAGTGAAAATTAATAGATTCCAAAACTAGGATGAGGCTTTGTTGTTGTTGCTAAGTGCTGCTGAGTCAGTTCGGTTCTAATTCATAGCGACCCTGTATAGGGTTTCCGAGGAGTGACTGGTGAGTTGGAACCACTGACCTCCAGTTCTTATCATGCAGCACCGCACTAGGGCTCCAGAAGGAGGCTTTAAAGGTAATCTAATTTGAATACCTAGTTGTTCACAATTCTCTTATTTTTCCAGCAGTTTAACTCCATACTGACAAACCTACTTCGTTTTTATTAAAAGGGGAATACTACTAATAAAAACACACCTTGTTTAAATACCTGGTCGTGGTGGTGGTGGTTGTGTGCCATGGAGTCAGTTCTGACTCATAGCGACCCTGCATAGGGTTTCCGAGGCTGTAAAACTTTACAGGAGCAGAAAGCCTCATCTTTCTCCCGCGGAACGGCTGGTAGTTTCGAACTGCTGACCTTAAGGTTAGCAGCCTGACTTTGTTTAAATACCTAGACAACTTATTAAAAATATTTTGTGTGTGTGCTGAAGACCGAGGATGGGGTGGGGTGGGTGTGGGGCCAGGCTTGCAGGGTATACCCTTTGGTTGGTTGATGATGCATGGAGGGGATTGTAACCATGGCAATGAGATGATACACGATAGAATGAATATAAAACTAATGTTCTCCCATGTAAACTATCACATAATTCACAATAAAACATTTAAGAAAAAAAATATTTTGTAACTAAGATCATATGAGGTTTATTGGGTTCTGTCTTTTGCCATTTTTTGGGGGGCCCTTGGACATCTCTTTTCCCTAATATGCAAAAATGCTTATAAAACTGAGATTTACACTTAAACTAGACACACTTTGATTTGTAGTAATTTTGTTTCTACTTTATATCCCCTAAATGTCATAGTGAGACTGTCAGTTAGCACCATATTAACTTCTTTTTATTTTTTTCATTTTGTGTTAGTTTTTCAAAACAAGGTAAAGACAGTTCATAAAATTGTATAACTAGGCTATGTAGACCACATTATGTCACAATGTGCTAGAAGCAAAAAAAAAAAAAAAGCCTTTAATCTCCATATATGAACTCCCATCCAGTATACATACATGATACATGGCTGACATATAGACCAAAACAGAGGGTGCTAATGACAGTCTGGTAATGAATACATGTAAAGATTAATGGGTTTTATTTTCAAGATAAATTAAAGTTCTATGTTATCTTTTTTTTTTTTCTTTTTTAACTTGTACTGTGAATTGAGTAGAGGTTTACAGAGCAGATCATCAGTTTTGTATTCAACAAGTCACATACTTTGCTTCTTTGCAATGGTTGATTGGATTCCTTCTGTGTACCAACAGTTAACAGTATTTACCTCCACTCACTTTAACTGATGCAGTCCTTCCTCTGCCTCTCGTTAACAATCATTTTTCTTTTACTAACCTCACTCTTATTGTGTATAGTCTGCCCTGTCACCCATGTTAACATGTGTCTACCTTCAAGTCTGTGAATGATTTTCCCTCCTTACTCACCCCATAACCATGACAGATAGTTTGTTTTATCAAAAAAACCTTTTCTTAACTTTTTACAACATTGGTCTCATACAATCATACAATATTTCCCCCTTTTTTTTTAAACCATGGGAAATCTGTAACATTTTATTTTTAAAAAATGAACAGCTTCAGAACAGATCTAAATGTAGCTTTAACAAAAAAAAAAAAAAAAAACACCAAAAAGTAGTGTAAAGCCCTTCCTTATTAAATACAAACTTATTTTGTGATGCATTGCATCAACGTTTTGCATATTCCCTAATGCAAAGGAAATTTTACATTACATTTGGTTTGAAACAAAACAAAAACCAACCAAACAAACAAACCCACTAACATTAAGATATGAAAATGAATGACTACAACCATATTAACTGTTACAAACTCCAACATAGGAAATTTTTCCTTAAACAAATTTTATCCTTTTTTATATAACACTCAAGTTTTAATTTAGTTGTACCAAAGGCAAAATTTTATATTTAAAAAGAAAGTTATGTTACAGATGCATAAAAAGAGCAAAAGTGTAATATACCAAGGACTTTTGTTGGTTGCACTTAATGTCATTATTTGGGACAACTTTTAGGTTTAAAAAGGCACTAGATTTCTGCTCCCGTAAAGATTTACAGCCCTGGAAACCCTGTACAGGGTCGCTATGAGTCGGAACCGACTCCACGGCATATAACAACAACAACAGTAATAGCATTATACAATAATATTCAAGATAACTCAAAAGGAAAATGAAAAGCATCTTTACACAAAATGTTCTAAGGACAGCAAACTTAATCTTAGTTGTTTTTCCTTTGCTTTAAAACAAGCCACCTCTAAAGCAGTCTAATATGTATTGTTTCTGGATCAACTATAAGCATTCATATTTGCCAAAATGTTTTGCAGTGGGTCCTTGACCTCAATGAAAACATAAAATGGCTAAGGAGAGGCTACTGTTTATTTTCAAATTCTGTGACTGGCTTCCCATAATCTCTTAATAGAAGAAATGCTGGCAAAATATCTGGTTATTTAGGATTGGATTTAATGGTATCAGCATGAAACTGTTATCGATAGCTTCTTAATAAACCATTAAGAAGGCTAGCTTACTTAAAAACTAACCCAAGGAGCATAAGAGACAACAGTGAAGTCTAGTGTATAATACAGGGCAGGTAGAAATGATAATTTAATGTTTTGTGAACATGAAAAGTCAACATAATCATATACTCTGGGGAATCTAATGCCTACTTAGATTTTTAACATTATCTAAACCAAAAGGTCATGCTTCAAAATGACCCAAGCTTATAACTTGTAGTTGGAATATTTTGCTGCATTTTGGCATTTTACTGTAACATATAGTATGCAATGCAACTATCTACAGGACTCAACACTATCTTGGCACAACAGACTAACTTGCTTGTATTCCTTTGGTTGTGGGGGAACTTTTTTCTCCCCATAATCAGAGAAAACAAGGTAACAGTGTAACTCTGTCATACTTGTATTTTTT